GGGGGGGGGGGGGGGGGGGAGCAAAATTTGTTATGGTTGATAATGGCAAATGATACTTTGAATTATTACATGTTGATAACTTGATTGGAATTATAACCCTAAGTTGACAGTTTGATACTTTGAAAATTTTGAGCCATCCCTACCCCCCAAGGGCTGTAGGGTGGGGCCCAATGAAGTCTGTGTGCTAAAATTTCTTCATTTTCCTTGTTTAGAATCAGAGATGCTAGTTTCAAATACTTTTCAGTCTTAAATCTGCATGCTAGATATTGAATAAGGTGGTTTATTGTTTTTTGTCACTTTGAATAATATTTCTGTTCATGCTAAAAACAAAAATCAACTCTCTGTATAAATATATCAGGTGACCGTTAAGGCCCATGGTCCTCTTGTTCAGAAATGTTAGATATACCTCATTACACAGAAATACTTTTATTCTATGTTTAAGACAAGGAATGAAACATTCTGTAAGTGTTTTAGGAAGTGTTAGAAATGCTTTTCACAAATAAATATTCTGTTTATAGCATCTATGTGTTATTTTTATAAAGATTCGTAGTGGCAATGAAATCACAATTATGTAAAGTAGAAACTTTAAGTTTCTGACAGAATGTGTATTTCTCAGTATATATGTAGCATTTAAAACTCAAATATCAGCACAAAACACACATAGGAAATCCTATAAAATTTCTATATTTTTAAGAAAATATACAATGAATAGAGTTCCACTGGTTATTCCAACTTCCAAGACAGTCTTTTTTATTATTTCAATCCCTTTCAGTTCATTGTGGATGATTCTGTGGAGGTGAGAATGATGGAGCTTCAGGAGAAAAAGAGAAAGCTGATGCAAGGAGTGTTTGGTGCATCCAAAAAGGAGACTGCTGAGCAGAAGAGGCAGAACAGAATCAAAGATATCAAATCACTTATGAATTTCTGAGTGTACCTCGTGTCATCAGAAATCCTATGAACGTCTGAGTGTACCTCCTGTCATCAGAAATCTTATGAATATCTGAGTGTACCTTGTATCATCAGAAATCCTATGAACGTCTGAGTGTACCTCTTGTTATCAGAAATCTTATGAACGTCTGAGTGTACCTCGTGTCATCAGAAAATGACATGTGAAAAGAAATCTGACGTTTCTGAGTGTACCTTGTGTTATCAGAAAATGACATGTGAAAAGAAATCTGATGTTGTGTCAAAGGCAGCATGAACAGATGTGTTGTATTTTCGACATTTCTTTTTAAAGTGGTGATGTTTTGCACTGTTCGGCAATGCATGGTCTAAGATAGTTGAAGATGATATAAAACATTGCCAGTCACAACAGTTGACCTGTTGTGTGAAAAGGAGAGACTTGAAATACGACAAACACATGTTTTAATAAAAAAAAAAACTGCATACACACAGATATGTGATATTGGTGACAGTATCAGTCCTGATGTTGTGAACTGTTCGGCAGTGCTGAGTTCGAAAGGAGAGAAAAAACTGCCAGGGATATATTGTATTATTCCCAACAAATATGAAAACAAAAATGGCAGACTTGCGTGACTGAGAAAAATGTTGGTATCTGTTGCAAATGTCTACAAGAAGATATAAACTAATTCTCTGAAGTTAATAAGCTGTGTTAAATACTCCAGACTGTTTCCATCATTTATTATTGTTCTAGTCATTGATTAGTGGTGCTCATGAAGAAATTGATGTGAGCTACAGCAAAGACTAAAATGTTGATTGCTGGCAGGATGTTGCTTTTGCTGTGTTGTGTATTTTTTATAAGATATCTTTTTACAATTTACCAATTTAGAAGAGTTGATTAATAATACTGGGTAAATGAAAATTAATTAACTCATTCACCCCTGAAGACACATTTGAACCCATCTAATTCAAAGGTTGGAATAGTTCATTATGAAATTTCAGGGGTGAATAAATTAACATACATTCAGCTTATATCATTCAAACAAAATTAAACAAGTGGAAGTAGACTTGGTAACTTTATGTTTTTAGAACAGCTTGTTTGTCACTTTGTATTTGTCACTTTTTTGGGTGTCAAATTCAGCTGTTTTATAGTTAGTGCTTGGTTACAACATTTTTACCCCGTATAGCAATACTGAAATATTGAATGTTGCAATGGTATGTCAATGCAATTCACATTTGATATTCCTATGTTTTGATACATTCAATCTTCTATTTTTTCGAACTTTGTGTGACCATTGGTAAAAATAAGAGATATCGATATTTCGACTCGCAAATGTTGAACTTACTGCATTAGACTGAAAGTGATTGTTGAGTGATAGGACAAAAGGCAGATATTAAATTTGAAATCTATGAATATTGGATTTAAGTGTAATTACACCAATATGTTTACATGTAGTTCCCATGTTCAGGTGTAAAAATTACCCTCGGACCTTTCAATGTTCTTGTACAGGTAATTATTTTACCGTACTTTTAATAATTTTGATTGTAATTTGAAACAGCAAGAAATTGAACTTATGAAAGTTCAATTTCAAATATGGAAGAAAAAGATCTGGGCTTTACCATAAGCTTGACACATCCAGTTGTGATTGTATGTATAATTTGTGTCATTCTATGAGGAAATCTCAAAATTTCTAGAAAGATTTGGGTATTATTCAGTTTCAACACTTGTAAAATATACTTTTCTACTTGAAGTGATCTATCATTTATAATGTATCTATTCATCAACAATTTTTTGTTGTTTTCAAACAACAAATACATTTGTACAAGCATGAATGCAGTATTCGAATCAATAGGATATCTTTCATAAGTAAGTATTTTTGATAAAGATCCAGTGAGGTCAGGAGTAGCATTTTATACGGGGTTTTCCACACTTAACCATTTTTTGTCTTTCATAGATTGAGTATAAAAATGTTGTGAATGTGATTAGAATACATGTTATATAGTGTAGTGCTATACTTTATGTAAAAAATTCTCTACATACTGTTGTGCAGTGTTAGTGCTGGCACGTTTTATCCTCGGATTACTGTTTAGTTAATAATACATGATTTTAATTTGATATGTTAGTCTTAAAAATCGGTCCTAGTAGTTTTAATAGGGCTCCTTAAGATGTTTCTTTAATTTGGGGTTGGGGAGCAGGGAGCTGTTTTGTTTGTATTTTTATGAAGCTATAAAGCCTGGTGGGGTCTTGAACAATTGTTACAATATCGTGGAGAAAGTGTAGGTGATAAGATTAAAAAGTAAAACCACTCTTTATGTTTACCAGGTATATTTGGAATAGCCACTTAAATAAATGATTCTTGAAGAATTGGATTAAATTTTCCAATCTGTGAAATGCAAAATTGTAGAAATTAAAAATAACTGAATCCCTCTTTCTTTCTTACTTTTTAAGTTTTCTAATCAGCAGTTATCTAACTTCATATTTTATTTTGTTGTATTTTATCATGCAGGTTATTTTTTTTTTTAATTCTTTCAATTCAATATCATTTTTAGTTTAAGATATTTTGTAAAACTTTTCACATTTCATCAATAAATATCTTTTAAAATAAATCAAATGTGATAGAAACTTGAATAGATTATGAACTGAATGTAATGCTGTATTCATTTTTTGTACACGTTATTCACATAAATATTATAGAGTTAATTCTCAGTGCTGCTGAAAATAAATTAAAAGAATTACAAAGTAACAAGATTATAATAACAAGATTAATCTTCATGTTAAAGTAATATAGTCAAAGTTTGTTTAACCTTAGTTTTTTAGGACATTTGGTTGTGTATTGTTTTAACTGTTTACAATAAGTTACAAAAAATAATAAAATTTGTTAATCTGTTTCAGTTTTGTCTTTATTTGTTATAAACAGAGGTGATGCTAGCAAGATCCTACCCTCCGATATCATTGTAATGTATACAATAGAGAAAGGTAGGGACTATATACTATATCCCACATCTCCAGATCATGATTTACATTATAATCTCCACTCTCGGCCTTTCTCACATATGGTTTTCAAGATCTTTTTATCATTCTTGAAGATTTTTAGCTGATAACTTTTATATGACTTAATTATAAGAAGTAAGCTATGAGGTATAAGTGATGAAACGATGGCTGTTGTCTTCCGTGACCTTTGAACGTAGACCAATTCAATTACAGGGGACTATTAGCTCACCTGGGCCGATGTGAGCTTATGCTGTTGCTCAGCGTCCTTCGTCCAGTGTCAAGATTTTACTTTAAATGACTTCTTCTCAATAACCAAAAGGCCTATGTTTATGGTATTTGGCCAGAAGCCTGCTGGGATGAAGGGCTACCAAGTCTGTTCATATGAATGACTTCACCCATATTCAAGGTCACATGAGCCAAATATGATCAAATTGTTAAACAACTTCTGAATATCCCAAATGCCTTCTTCTTTAGGGTGCAGGGGCTCCATCAATAATGGTGATTATGCCATCGGTGGTCCTATCACAGAGGCGTGAAAAAATGGGGTTATTTACAGTGATTAGTTTGGTTTTTTTTTGGTGTTTTTTAGCTCACCAGGTCTGAAGGACCATGGTGAGCTTATGCCATACCGCAGCGTCCGTCCGTCAACTTTTCCTTTAAAACGAAACTAGTCTTGAACGGCCAAGTAGATTTTGACTAAATTTGGTCTGGAGTATTCTTAGGCCAAGGGGACTCAATTTTGTATAAACGGTGGGTCTGCCCCCCCTTGGGGGCAGAGGGGTGGGGCTCATTAGGGGAAATTGAGGTAAAACCTTAAAAATCCTTCTGCTACCATAGGGAGGGATTTCATCCTAATTTAGTCTGGAGCAAGAAATGGTGGGTGTGGCCCCCCTGGGGGCTGAGGGGCGGGGCCCAATAGGGGAAACATAGCAAATTCTTTAAATTCCTTCTTCTGTAGGAATGAAAGGATTTTGTCCATTTTTGGTAAGAAGCATCCTTGGGGGAAGGGGAACAAATTTTGTATAAATGGTGGGTCTGGTCCCCCTGGGGGCTGAGGGGTGTGGCCCAATACGGGAAATATAGCAAATTCCTTAATATCCTTCTGTAGAAATGAAAGTATTTGTTCCATATTTGGTCTGAAGCATCCTTGGGTGAAGGGGAACCAATTTTGTATAAACCATGGGTCTGGCCCCTGAGGGGCCTGAGGGGCGGGGCCCAATAGGGGAAACATAGCAAAGTATTCTTTAAAATCCTTTTTCTTCTGTAGGAATGAAAGAATTTGGTCCATATTTGATGTAGAGCATCCTTGGGTAAAGGGGAACCAATTTTGTATAAACGGTGGGTGTGGCCCCCCCTGGGACCTGAGGGGCGGGCCAAATAGCGGAAATTAAAGAAAAACCTTTATAATCCTTCTTCTACCATATTGATTAAGGGATTTTATACTAATTTAGTCTGGAACATCCTTGGGCAAAAGGGACTCAATTTCGTATAAAGAGTGAATGTGAGAAGGGAGGGGCCCAATAGGGAAAACAGCAAATTCTTCAAATACCTTCTTCTGTACGAATGACAGGATTTTGTCCAAATTTGGTATGCACAGTGTGTCTAACCCCCCTCCCGGGGCAGAGAGGTGGGGCCCAATAGGGGAAATAGAGGTAATACCTTTAAAATCCTTTTACCATAGGGATTAAGGGATTTTATCCCAATTTGGTCTGGAGCATCCTTGGGCCAAGGGGACTCAATTTTGTATAAACGGTGGGGTTGGACCCTCTTGGGGCAGAGGCCAGGGCCCAATAGGAGAATTCAAGGTTTAAATCTTTAAAATCCCTCTTCTTCTGTAGCATTGAGGGATGTTATCCAAAATTGACCTGGAGCATAATTGTGCAAGGGTGACTTGTTTTAATGAGGTTGAGGTCACCGCATCCTGTAACATGCAGTGTTGGTTGGTTTAGTGAAAAAAGCTGCACCTTCAGCCAACCACACCACGGGTCTCGGCACGTGGCTGATATCAACCTCATTAATATCAAAAACTGTGACAGGCTGACTGTGAAAACTTTGAAACTCTGAAATAGCGTGTGTTTTTGGAGGAAATGGAGTTCATGTCTGCGGAAGGAGAATACATTTTACGTGCATATAGGAGTTTTTTTTTATGAAAAATTATCCATCTGTCCAGCGGTACTAAACATTTTCCGTAGATC